TTTGAATTCTCTCCTAAACCAGTGTTCCTCTTTGTGGATGATTTCAGCTTGAGCCCACTTGATGTTGTGTTGATGAGTCCAGACATGCTCTGCTATTCCGGATTTGGTGGTTTCTCCTCGCTGTGTGTGTTTCTTGTGCTCAGCAATGCGAACTTTCAATGGCCTCTTAGTTTCACCGATGTATGATTCCTTGCACTCGCAGGGTATCCGGTAAATGCAATTCTTGGAATCGCAGTCTGTGTTTGGTGGCCTGGTTTTCGTGAGGCTGCTACGTATAGTGTTCCCAGATCTGAAGTAGGTCCTGATATTATACTTGGACCCAATCCGTCTTATTCTTTCCGATAATCCTCTGATGTAGGGAAGTATAAGTACTGGTTGTGGCGGCTTCTCTTCCTAGAAGACAGAAAGAACTCAACAAGGAAGTCTCACGAATTTTGACAACTTACCGGTTGGAGAGTCGTTGTAGGATACCATTGGTCTAGTAGGATTGTCTTCTTTATAAACCCTAATCAAACGTAACATCTCTGGAGGTTGATGATTCATACACGTTATTTTCTCGATACCTCAGGATGTGGGAAACAGCATCATTTATTCGATCGAACTGATCGGCGTCGGGTGACGCCAAACCACTGTGGTTTTGATCAAAGAGTACCGATAATTTTTTTTTCATACAAATTCTGTCCAACTTTGATATCTTGTCGCCTTCAAAAGTTGAGAGGGAAAGGGATTATTTACGTCCGCACTGTATAGTTTTTTGTGGATTGAATAATTGCATTAAAGATCTAAGTGAATTTTATGAAACTCAATTCAAATAAAGGAACATTTTCGTCTCAGTGGATTTTGCTGTTAAATACTGCCACTTCATGTCGACATGGAGGTATGTGAGACAATATTATTGTGGCCCGATTTACAAACATTACAAATATTGTGTTTATGATTGATTTTTTGTGACTGAAAGTGCAGAAAATGCAGTGAATAATTTTCTTCCATCTTTGTAGTGAGTGAATGAAGAAGGATGAAGAAAATTGACGAAATCTTTTGCAATAAGCAGCGGACTCACTCATATTATAAATGAGATAACCAGGATTCCTTACTGTGATGGAGAATATGCTAAAAACCAATTCAGAAATTTACACAGTTACCGTAAGGTCTCCATTGGGATATTCTGACCAAAAACTAATTTCAGTGTTGAGTGATTTACCGATTAATGTTGGGAACAATCTAAGCCGCATAAAGTTTGGCATTACAGATCAGCTGAATGGGAGAATTTTCAAGACCATTCCCGAAATTTTCCCTGGCTAGATGTTTGTTCCAGCTCTGAAGATCCATCAAATTGTGCTTGTGCACGAAAGTTATTCTATCATCCATGGGTGTATATATTCCTTTTTCAATGAAACGACCTTCTAACGGCAAACCTTAGGTCAACAAAAATTGCGAGCAAGCTGTCGCCTCCAAAAATCTCGCCTACCGGTAGTGGCGCAAAAATCCCAGTACCGAAAACCGAACTAGGTTTGTTTATGCTCGCAACGGCTGCAGACTTAGATTGAATGAAAGCAAAGAACTTTACAATTGGAGAATTAGGGATAAACTGCTTGACAATCCCCATGGGTCTACATCCTTCTGGTCGGTAGCTAAAGCTGATTGTTAATCAGAACTTTATAAAATCCACATATCCACCACTAACACAAGCGGATGGTTCAATTGCAACAACAGCCATAGAAAAAGCAAATGTACTAGCTGAAAAATTTGTGTCCAACTCCACAGTTGATTTTCTGGTAGAGGCGCCAACCACCATTCCCACACTAGAACCACAATGCCGGAATCAACTTTTCGACAGCAAATGGTTAGGCGAATTTTGAAACAGCTCAATATCAACAAGGCGTCTGGCCCTGATGGAGTACCCGTCATCGTACTTGAAAAGTGTGCAAATAACACGCTTTAATGTTTTCAGGCTTTTAAACCTGTTTTATAATAAAAAGGTTTATCTTTCTTGTTGGAAAATTGCTCGCGTTCAGCCTATTCCAAAAAAGGGCAAAAAAATCTTCCAAATAACTTTAGACCAGGATGAAATCAAAGGATTCAATCTTGCCAATCACCCTTGGCGACCCTGGGAAGCTGGCGCCGAAGCAATATCTGGCGATGACCATAAAAAATATATGCTTAACAGTAGGACAACAAAGGAATTACCTCCACAATATGGGGCTAGTGGACACACCTCTATGCAGGATGTGTTAACAGGAAGATGAAACTGTCAGGCATGTCCTATGCGAATGTCTGGAGTTATCGTCAATAAGAGAGTGTGTGTTCGGCGAGTCTTGGCCTACACCTGCCGATATAAAGGAGATGTCTCCCAGAGACCTGTCCACCTTCCTGGAAAGGACTGGATGCACGATGACCTTGAGAGGACAACTCCTTTCTACAACTACCTTTCTACTCTACAGATACAGACGGCTCTTCAGCTTCCTGAAAGAACGTTCCCTGCAAGTGGCTGTCGAATATTTCGAATATTTTCACCATCAACGCTGGTGTTCCCCTGGGATTCATATTGTCTCCAACGACTCATTGGAAAAAACCAGGCATCCAATATATTGCTTTGCTGACGACAGTACACTTGTCTTGTCTTTGGATTCCAGGACATCGGCTACGGAGGCACATCTTCACCGGTAGCAGGAAGTTGCATATCTTGATGATTATCTAGAAGTAATTTTGAATTGGGGTAGAAGTAACCAGGTTCAGTTCAATGCCCCGAAAACCCAGGCATCGGTTTTCTTCGAGAAGATAAATGTCTCTGAACCGGATATAATGATGTCAGGTCATACAATTCTGCTTCGATAAGTTTGTTGGAGGTTAAAATGGACACCAATATGTCTTGGCACAATCATGTCACTGGAATTGCAGAGGCTGCTTCTCAAAAGCTTAGAACACTGTTCTGAACCAGAAAACTGTACACACCTCAGCAACTTTTGATGCTTCATAAAGCGCAGATCAGACCTGAAGCTGCTGGATTTCATCCAGAAAAGAGCCATCTGTCTGATTGGAGTCGCAAACAAAACGTGCAACCTTGATAGCCTGGAAGTAAATAGGCTATAGGATTTCTGGCTCATTCCTTATGGAGATTAACATGGGAAAACGGCTAAGGTTCATTCTGCAATTTTTGGTTCCTTTCAAGGTCACGCGTACGGCAGAGAATCGAGCAGCGTTATCGCGGTTTGGAAGATAACGATTCGAGCGCGTTTGGAATGAGAACAAATACAGGGTATTAAAGAAAAAAACAAGGCTGCTAGTGAAGAAAAAAACATGGCGGCAATGTAACGGGCATTGAGTCGAGTATACAAGGGTGCGTCAAAACATATAATTTAAGGAACATGATAGTTTAACGGGACTGTTATATTTTACTGCGCGATCCCTCGATGTGTGTACAGGGTGTTTCAAAATACATCATTTAAGAAAAAAAAACGTGGTGGCAGACATTGAGCGGAATATACAGGGTGCGACAAAATACATAATTTAAGAAACATGGTAGTTTAACGGGGCTCTATCGTTTTAACGTATGCTTCTTCAATGTATACAAAATGTCTCATTCAAGAAAGAAACATGCCAGGGGGGGACTATCCCAATGAGAAACGTTGGAAAATGGGACAATGGGGGTATTCTGCAATGACATTTCAAAATACGTCACAAGCGTTTTTTCGTGTTAGTTGGGAAATGGGGGGGGGGAGAGTGAGGGTAAAGAAAACACACGGGAGGGCAATATTTGTTATCGTAATCGAAAAAAACATGGCTGCCATACAGGATGTCTCATCGTTTAAGGAAAAAAAAACATATACAGGGTGTCTCAAATACCTCAGCGTGGAAAATAACGGTATAATATCGAAGAAAGGTTGGAGATTTGTCTCTCTTCTATAGAAACTTTCACGGGAAGTGTTCGAGTGACTTGGCACAGTTGATTCTACCAAGAGCGGTACATATCAGAAATACGCGAGGGACTGTGGCTGCTCATCGTTTTGAGGTTCAACTTAGTACACCTCGAACTTCACTGTTTAAAAACTGTTTCATTTGGAGAACTGCGTTTATGTGGAATAAACTATCTGAGAACGTTTTTCCAAATGGATTCAATCTCCAACAATTCAAATCAAATATGAATCGTTCCTTGGCACAGGCATAGCTCTAAGAACACCTAAAGAATTTTTCTGTAATGCTTGTATTTCGTTATTAAGAAAATACTAGTGGGTATTATTAGCCAATTATTAGCCAGTGTCACTCAAACTTGGAATACTTTTTCTGAGTAGACAGTTGTACACATCTCAGCAACTTTGTATGAGTTCTAAGCTAAAATTAAATTGTATTTCAAATATTGTTTACATATGAGTAGTAACGTCTTGAGGCTACTGGATTCTAGGCGCAAAATAACAATATGCCTGATTGTAGATCCAAACATCACACACAACCTTGATGGTCCCGAAGGAAGGTTGGGGACTTGTCTCATTTCTATAAATACTTTTAAGAAAAGTGGGCAGCCAACTGCAGCTGCTCATCAATGCGGTCTGACCGTTTTTGAGAATGAATAAAATACACATCGATTCGAAACGAAAAATGCCACTTTCGCACAGCTAACGCTTCTATAGTGCCGTAAGAATTTTTCTAGAAGGTTTCTGTGCTGCCACAAAAATATAAATGATTTACAGAAAGGTATTTAATATAGAGGAAGCAAAATCAAAATATTCATATTCTCAAAATTATATGAGAATGTAATTTAACGATAATTTAGTTTCATATGAAAATCAATTCAAAATTCTACGAAGTTTTTCTCGATTGTTGATTTTTTTTAATCAGTGTCTCATAATGAAGCACCAGCAATATTACGATATCTCTGTATTGGCGAAAATGTATTCAATATATATCCAAGGTTAGAACTACAGAACAGACATTGTTTCAGCATTCCAGAAAAATTAAATCTTTCTCAACAAGCAGCACACTCCACACAATAAAAGTATCCTCACTCAATATTCTCCCTTTCCGATGGTATTATGTCCAACTATTGAAACAGATAGAAAATACTTTTTGCGATCGGTCCTACTCGAATGTGAAAACCCGGGCGACTGTGTCAAATACCTATTCCGCGAGCCGGGTCTATTTTAGATTCAGAGTTATGCAGTGGGTTTATTAAATATGTCTCCTACTTCAAGATTTATAATTAAACTCAACAACTTTCATGTTGAGACCGTAGAAAAATGTTTTCGCGGACTGGAGTTGTAATACCAAATACTAAAAATAATTACAGAAATCGATATATTGTGGCGCGATTAATCTACCAATACCTGAGTCTTTGTCTGAATTATTAGCAGCTCACCAACAAATCAGAAGATCATTTTTATTTAGAAATCACTTCATTAATGCACCAATTACCTTTTATAAAAAACTACATTACTGTCATGAAATAGATGGTTGATTGGTTCGTCCTCGAGAATCTTTACTCGGACCTAACCCATTTCTGTTATTCCTGAATGATTTATTCGTAGATATGTGGTATACCACATTTTCAGAAATCAAATCATTTTATGTTACATCGAACAGAATTTCCCAATTCACCATTTTTCCAATGGTGGAATCACACTGGATTTTCCACAGGAAAGTACTCAAACTTAATTGACTTCATAAACTGAACCTTTCGATTTGATATCCACAAACTTCATTCGAAAAAATATATCATGACATGTTTCCCTAACACAGTAGCTTTTTCTTAGTGAATTAAGTGCTTGAACTTAATTTGAAAAAACAAGTTTTTCACACCATCGAATTCTACGAAAATTTTTGACAGGAAAAAAGTTACAATAACTTTTCGAAAATGCACATTTTCGGAAAACATTCTGTAACTCAGAAACGATGATATATATCGATATGCGGTTTTCACCATTAGATTTGTCATAAAATTTGATCCTCAGACACAGCCAAGAGTTTTCACCTGTCTAGTATGGAAACAGGATTGTCCAATTGGGAGAGTATTATTAGTACCTACAAGGGTGGTATATAATGGGTCATGTAATGATTCATTGTTAGTTTATTGTAAAAGTTTGAAAATGTCCGTATAGGACGAAACTGCAGTAACGTTAGTTGCAAATAAAAGTGGTAAAAAATATAGAAAGTTTCATTTCTCTTTTCTTCACAATATATCTAAATGAGTTGCTACAGATACCAACAATAGGTACAATTTTGAGCCTTGCTGACGATACGGCTGTCTTGTCTCTTCATGGAAGTAACTGAAAGCTTCTGCAGAAAATTATTGTATTGAGATTGAAAAATGGTTCTGTCACAATAAAGTCACTATCAATTTCCAAAAAAACAAATATTTACCCTTCACATCATATTGCAGTACATTACCCAATATGGGATACCTAAATATAGGAAATAATAATCACATACCTGAGCGAGACAATTAAATATCTAGGTATCTATATAGACAGGCATGTTCGATGGCACCTACAGATGAAAGAAATAAACAGAAAGTTCAATCGCCTAAAATCGCCTTGACATTCAGCATTTGAGAACATTGTACTTTGCACTTGTACAATCATAACTGTACTATAGTGTAATAGGTTGGGAAGGAGTGAATGGTTGGTATCTTGAAAATGTAAATGTCATACAGAAATGGATAGTGAAAATTATATTTAGTAGAAAAAACTCACCAACTGAGGCCTTATTTGAGGAAGCAAGTGTATGTGATATTCGACAAAATTTTTGTATGAGCATACTGAGTAATGTTAAAAAAGGACACATCAAAATAGAACCAGTCATTTACTTCTACAATACTAGGAAAAAGGGAAACTCTTTAAATGCACCACGATGTGAGAAAACTATAGGACAAAGAAAGGCAACATATCTCGGACCACGCTTATACCAAATATTACCAGGAGCAATAAAAAATATTAACAGTTCTTCTATGTTTGAAAGAGAAGTAAAGAAGTTTATTCTGAATTCCGAAAGAACTTTTTCTCTGACTTCATTAATCAAACTATTCCAAACAGCAATTTGACCTAAGCAATTATTGAGTAGATGAAAATAACTATCTATTCTGTCTGTAACTACTGTTTCTGTTATTAGGTTTATTTGTCAATTGATTGATTACTTATTATTTTTTGATGGAATGTAAATTAATTCACATCATAGTCTCCATACGAACAAGCAATAGATTTCTATGGCTTCTGTGATTATCTTGTTTATTTTCGATAGCACTCCATGTAATTTATATCAGTGTATGAGAAAATAAACATATTATTATTATTAAAAAGTAGTACTGCAATCTCTCGGATAGAATTAGGCCAATACATATAATTTTTGAGCACAATGAGCCAGAAATATATTGAAGACTTATATAAACTACAATTGTCGTTTATATATTTGTATTTTTGTAGGTATTCTAGGTTTGCTACACGATATATGGCAAATAGCCATATATTGCTCCTCCTATAGATAAAAAGAAAATACGAAGTGCATGGGACCGACTTCTTCTGAACATTATAACTGATGAACTTCTGAAATCAACAAGTGTGTACGATAAGGCTCGTCTGAAAGGAATCGGGTGCTTGGCTGAATGCTTTACCTGTTGCATCTCTTGGAACACTATTAGACGATGAATCTTTCAGAATGGCAGTAGGGCTGAGGATGGGTTCATCTATTTGTGTTCCTCATACTTGTGTTTGCGGTAGTATAGTTGATGAGAAATGTACACATGGTTTGAGTTGTAGGAGAAGTGCAGGGCGTACATCTCGACATCACCAAGTGAACGACATATTGAAAAGAGCTATGTTGTCAGCTGATTTTCCTGCAATTCTGGAACCCTTAGGTATCAGTCGAGATGATGGTAAACGACCAGATGGTATGTCTCTCATACCATAGAATTACGGTGAACCTGTGGTACGGGACTTCACTTGCGTTGACACGGTCGCGGCTTCCCATCTAACCGGAAGATCGAAGTCTGCTGGAACTACAGCATTGTCTGGCGAGAAATTGAAAAGAAAAAGATACGAAAATCTTGGTGACAACTATCTGTTCCGTCCAGTAGCGGTTGAAACTTTTGGTGTTTATGGCCCGGAATCTCTGGTATTCGTTCATGAACTCGGAAGGAGAATAGGCCAAGCAACGAAAGATCACCGTTCTACCCCTTTTTTGATAGAAATAATTAGTATTGCTATTCAACGTAGCAATGCTGCTTCGGTCCTTGGAACTATTCCTCCTTCATATAATTTTGATGAGATCATGTATTGCCCTAATTTCAGTACGGAACTGAAATATCTTCAAAACGAGCCGAGATATGTGAATAGTCATCAGTCCCCTGTCAAGGTTAATTCGCAAGTGATTGATCCACCTTCTTCTTTTTCAGTTCGGTCAATGGACTTAGGTCATTCTTGCTCCCCAAAACTGAGTTGCAGTCCTCTTAGTTCTGGTTCCCTTTCAGTAGAAGAGCTTCATGAAGCAAGAGCCGAATCGATCCTTCTACGAAACCCTTCTTCACTTGGAAGGATCGATCGCAGCTTGAGAAATGGTTCTTATGGAGATTATGTGAAACATGTTCTTCCTTACGAATCAGTAGAGAGTTGCCTGAAAATCTAGAGAAGAATATTGGATTGGATAATTTAGCAAACACTTACTACATGAATATTATTTTACAAGTGTTGTTCATGACGAAGAATTTCAAGAACGAGGTTTTAATGATGAACGAGAACGGGGAATGCTCCCTACTTATTTATCAAACTTAAACACCTGTTATGCAGCTGCAGTTTCGTAAGAATGTATCATCTTTCTCTCCAATCGATTCGATGGAGTCTTTGAAATCCACTAGATACTCGTTAAGACAACAAGAGGATTGTTCCGAATTCTTGAGGTTCTTGTTGAATACTCTTCGTGAGCAAACCAATAGCAAAATTAATACTCCTGACCGCTCTGGATTGAATGATTCCATACAGTCCATCTCGTCTTGTGTTTGTAAATCTTTTGCTGGAAAAATCCTGACTTGTTTACTTTGCAGTAAATGTTCAAGAGGTAGTGAAAACTTATGTGAATTTCTGGAACTTTATCTAGCATTTCCTAATATGACTAATAACCAGTCCATGCAAAGTTTATTGTTGAATCATCTGAAAATGGAATTTTTAACAGGTGATGATCGATTGTATTGCCAAACATGCGCCAAACTAACTGACTGTTATAAGAAAACAAGTATAGCTGAGGCACCAGTCAATCTAATAGTAACACTGATGAATTTCAAAGCAGACTCAACCTTTGACGGAAGCAAGAAACTCTTTCGAAGGTTCGAAATAGATGAACATTTCAATCTAGCAGACCACTATTACAATATTCATGCATTCATTGTTCACTGTGGTTCTGGCGTTGAATTCGGTCATTATTACGCCTTGGTCAAAGACGAAACGGACTGGTTTAAGTTTGACGATAGTCATGTCATGAAGTGTTCTGGCGATGTATTGAATCTATTGGAGTCTTTGGAGACACCCTACATTTTATTTAATGAGAGAGAGGACAGTGGCAGATCAAGATCTTTGGACGATGTGGTGCTGCAGGTTTTTCCGGGTTTTCCTGCAGCTGAAAAAGCAAATGCGCCACTGGAATCAATGAAGTCGCCCCGGAGCGCCAGTTAATTTTTATAGTTGTTATTATTTTTATCGTTGTTTTACAATAAAAATTTCTCACTTATCAAAAAAAAAATAGCCAGCAACTTGTAGATTTTCTCAATTCCTATTCATGATATTTAGTGACTACTATTTTTTGTTGTCCTGACAAAGTGGTTCGTTTTCGCCGTTGAAAAAAAACAATATCTTCCAGCTAAAGATATTTCAGAAGCTGATAAGAGTCCTAATAAAATTTGCTAATCATTTGGTGTAGACCAAATCACAGAACATCTCATCATCTCCCAAATACGAGCATGGCAGACGTGTTGCAGCAAACCTTTTCCACATGACTCGAGAAAGTCACGGGTTGACTATTGCCCTTTTAAGGTGTTTTAAGGACAGAACACAATCACTACGGGAAAATTCCTAAGGCGCTCTCAGAGTGGTGTCTGTGCGAAAGTAGCGATTCACGTTGGATTCGAATCGCTGGAGATTATATAAAGACCTTATG